TATATATATAGCATATATTGTTAAACATTGGGTGTTTCATTAAAACGGATTATATATAAGGGTGTTTCATTAAGATGGATCAAACTCCGTAGTAAATAAATCAGTGTTATTGGTAAAAATTTATTTATTTCTCTATTGGATAATGTTATTTAAGTCATGGCAATTTTGTGTGAAAATTAATATCGCCACAATATGCGCGAAAATTTGAAAGAAAAAGAAAAATCATTAGACGCTTAAACTTAATTCACATTTAAAATCTGTCCCGGTTGATGGAATGCCCTTTATAAGCGAAAATGAATGTCTATCATATTGATGTTGATCATGAGCCGACTTAAACTTCGTATGGTTGCTTTAATTTGGAGTGAAAATAAAGACAAACAGTGTCTAACATTGGAATTTTTTATTAAAAGACTTGTAATAGAGAGGGAAAGAATAAAAGAAGAACGGACAAGGATAAAAAGAAGGAGGAGGATCAAGGCATCAGAAGATGTCGATTGACATTACACTTAAATTTTTGAAGATTATTGCTTATCAAGGAAGCGAGTAAGAGGCGGGGATAAGCGCGAGAGAAGAAGTTGTTGGAGTAGAAGAGGCGATTACATTTAACTGTTTTGACAGTAAAACGATGGAACCGAGATGCCAACCTAGTAGTACGCTTAAATTCATGCAGTCGAGACACCAGTGAAAATAGCTCATCAGAGCAGATGCCATGAAAATATTAATTGAAAAAGCAGAGGGAAGCCACATTACGTTTGTGAGAAAGTCACTGGAGTCGCAACCCCAAGTCAGGACCAATCACATTACATATCCATCTTTGGATTTTGTCGATCGGTGATATATTTTATTGAATGTGAAGATAAATTCTTCCGATGGGTAAAATATTTAGACATTTATTTGCTCTTAGGTCAAAGTTTTTTGATAATCATTATTATTGGAAACAGTGTTTGAAGTTATAGTATTTTCTATAATATAATAAATGTTTAATCTTATATCTTTATGATTATTTGCATTTCCCTCAGTAGGTGTTCTTTACTTCGCTGTTACATTCTCCATTACTGTGTATAATATCGAGACATTTTCTCATACCTGAATAAGTTTATTATATTATTCTGGCATAATTATTGTGTATACTTTTGTTATTGTTTTTTTAAGAAAAACTAAAATTCGCCCAGTGCAAGCTTTGAGAGAAAGAGAAGGTAGGGAGCTACTTGCTATGAATTTTAGAAAAGATAGTAGGAAGTGAAAAATTATGGGGATAAGGAGGATAGATAACGATTGACCCTTGACTTGAAGCGGTTAAGCGTAGACGGAAGCCTCCACGTGTCAGTCTGTTGCACAAAGTAGCAGTTCTTGGGGTAAATCCGAGTTGGACTTCTTCCTTACAACTGGAATATGGAAGACATGAGCGTGATTCGACTCCGTAACCTAGAACTAAATGTCTGAACTGATGAAAAAAATAAAGAGAGTAGAGCTCATCTGATCATTTTCCATGGATAATAAAGATTTTTTGAAGGATATAGGAAAGGATAGCAAAAATATAAACTTTACTAAAGGTTAAAAAGAAATTGTGGAGAGCCATGATGGTCAACGACCTGATGGTGCAAGATACAGCGAGACAATCCCAAGAGAACTGGAAGAACTCCCAGGTTTCATTATCGTGAGGAAATAATCCTTAACATAAAATAATCGGACACTGTATTATTGACAGAAGGAAAGCCGAAGTTATTCTCAGTTAAGTGTCTAAAAAAATAAAGAAGAATAGACTAAGTACGAACTGTAAGAAAAATGAATCCATGGTTGTCAGCAAAAAAGACCACCCATGATACGAGATACATATTGGAGACATCAAAACTCTATGGATTGTGCAATAATAAAAGACAAAAAATGTAGTACAGATATTTCATGTTGCATCGGAATCGTAAAAGATGCCATGCAGAAACAAAGAAAATAATTAAAAGACAGGAAAATATCGCCACAAACAGTGAAAAAAATCTATGACTATTACATGTTAATTGATTTCTTATATGACAATTAATGATGAAGAAGAGACGTGAAGTAACAGAGATGTCATTCTCCCGACAAATGCTGAGAATACCATTGGCACGTGAGTTTTAGAGAGAAAAGGAGTAAAAGGAAACTTACAATAAAAAAAACATTTTAAATTTCTGAGAGGAAAGAGAGTTTGGAGAATCTAACACACACAAGGTCCACTGAAGGCAAGAGAGATAAGGTGAAACAGTAAATAACCTATTTAATGAGTTTTTAAGTCACAGAAAAATAACGGGTGATAAATGGGCAAAAATTACCAATGACCGTTCTTCATGTGTTTTATGTTACAAATATCTAAGATGCGATATTAATTGAATATAAAGTCTTTTTGTTATAAAATCTTATTCTAACTATTGTTCAATCACGAAGAGTTCGAATTGTTTTTAATCATTTCACTGCAGGCAAGACGGAAATGACACGAGTATAGAGTGGGTTACAGGGAATGAAAGTGATTTAGAAGACTGATCATGAGAAGCAGAAAAGATGAACGGGATTCAAAAAGATAGAAGATGGCGATTGACGTTGCATTTAAATTTTTGAAGATTGTAGATATAGTTACATTTGAAGATGTGTTTTGATACAAAAAGTTTTCTGTTGTCTAGTAATTTTATGTTGCTTTTGTGCAGGGAGACCCTGTTGTTCAATTGTCAGCTGATACCAATATATGCCTTCTTGCATTTTTTGCATTGAAGTACATGAATCACATTTTTGGAGTTGCAGTTTAAGTTTTTATATATTATGAATGTCGTTTTGGGGTTTTCAGAAGTGTAGGAGTTTCTTTCTATAATGATGTCACAAGGTAAATTTAATATCAAACAGAAAATTATTCTTACCTACAAATGCAGGAGCTAAATAGATCATAACCCCACACGTAAAACCACACAGCATACACACAAAGTGACTAAATACAGTGATCATATCACTCACATGCATGCACACACGCTCACATGCGGGTATCTGTGGGGCATGAAAATAAAGATATATATATATATATATAAACATACACACACACACACACACACACACACACACACACACACACACACACACACACATATATATATATATATATATATATATATATATATATATATATATATATATATATATATACACGCATGTTTTGACAAAATCAGGAACTACTCACGGGGCACACAAACCCCACACAACTTAGGAAGTACGTGTATGTATGTATACATATATATGTATGTGTGTGTGTATGTGTATACTAGTTCCATGTAACTTGTGAAGTATGTGTGTGTATATGTGTGTATGCACCGATTCCTTGTGGTGGGACGGTGTGTGTGCGTGTGTATGTATGTGTGTATGTGTACAAATGTGTTTACTAATTCCTCGTAGTGAGACAGTGTATATATAGAGAGGGAATATACACACGCATATATACACGCATGCTGACAGAAACACACGAAAACGGAAATAGATCTAAGAACACACAGGGGTCATTAAAACATTAAAAGAAAAGATAGTGATAACTAATTCATCATTTCTCTCGGAACAATTTTAATTGTCTTATGACCCTTCGCGCAGAACTCTTCACTGCCAATTCAAGAAAGACATTCTGGTTACTAACACAAAACCAGAGAATGTCTCATCTCGAGAATATTTAACTTCGAAAAACATAAAGGAAAAAAATTAATTATTTTTAATAATATCTCCGCCTTTACCTGAAGAAGGCTGCGAGACCAGAAACGCGTGTAGTAAAATTATAGAAAATAAAACATAATATTTTTTTTAAGAAATCCACATTACAACACAAAACGTTTGGCACCTCTCTTCTTTTTAATATATCTATATATATATATATATATATATATATATATATATATATAATAAGTAGGAGGATTTGATAAATAAACATACACACACACACACACACACATATATATATATATATATATATATATATATATATATATATATATATATATATATGTGAACAGAAATATTCTAGGAAAAGATTAAGCAGATTGTGACGTTTTCTTGTCGTACCCTGATGAGTTTTGAAATGATTCAGTATTTGAGTCTTCATCAGACATATACGACTTTGTTGATCGACATTTTTCTTTTATCAGGTCAAAGCGTTCAGTGGAATCAGTTCTAGGATGATGGTCACTGATAGATGAGAAGTGTTCTCTATTGATGAGGCCAAATTCTATTGTGAGGTCAACATAAAAGGTATAAAATTCATTTCGATATTCGATAGCTATGCAATTTCCTACAGTAGACTCCTTATTCATCAGTACACTCCTTAACAGAAAGAAATAGAAACTGGGTCATTAGGATTTTGCTTTCGTAAAACGGTTTAAGATTACTTACTAAAATATTCACCGGTGCGTCACCATAATGGTTTCAATGACGATACCTCTGTACGTACGAGTGTCTTCAGAACTGATTTATTTGTTTGCAAGGAAGTGAGAAATTAATTCAGTTAAAGGATAAACTACATTCAAAATTTTAGCTTTAATTTATTCTTTTTGCTTTACTCAATTTTTTCAATTGCTCATCAATAAGTTTGTTACTGTTTGCGTTTGGAGACAGACTTTGTCATCGTTAGATTTATACTAGTGTATATTCTATTTCTTCAGGCCTCTCCAGCTTCGCGAGTTCAGGGATGAAATGTGACTTGAAATATTTTTTTACACCAGGATGTTTCTTCTATTTGATTGATTCGTCTCTTACGGCTTATCAACACTTCGACGGTTATTTACAGCCCCCCAAATTTTAAGATTAAAGAATTATTTTGATATTACTAGTTTAGCGAGAAGTGTCTTACTAATTAACCCATAGCTGGGGAGGAGAAGAGATGGATTCATAACTTTCCCAATGATATTTGCGCATAAGTGAATATAACGACCACAACTGGAATTGAAAATCGGCTTCCCGATTAACAATTCTGAGCCTTTATTCATTACACTACCCGCACATCCAAGCTTACAGTACCTGGTATTTTCAGGCAGTCACTCATCTACGTACTGACCAGGCTCGATGTTGCTTAACTTCGGTGATCGCAAGGGAATTGTTGTTTCAACGTGATATTATATAGATGTAAACTCTCTCTTTCACTCTCTATGTCCCACCTCTCTATCTCTCCCTCTCTCTCTCTCTCTCTCTCTCTCTCTCTCTCTATATATATATATATATATATATATATATATATATATATATAGGGTTTCCTAAAAAAAAATGATATTTTAAAAGCAATTATCTTGAAAACTACTAAGTCTAGTTCACTGAAATTGAACAGTTTAAATGTTGAACATCATAAGTTTATTATGAGACCGATTACATAAGTGTTCAATATGTGCACTGGCTCTGTCACAGCACACGTCATGTCGGTAGTTAAGCTCTTGCCAAACATGCTGATGTTAATGATGGTCTACCATATTCTTTAGCTCTGTATAAGCAGTCGCCCTCTTTAAGTTTGTGATACCAAGTCCAAATTTGTTTGTTTTAGTTGGTGAAGTCTTTCCAAATTTTTCATTGAAGTCACACTGCATACACTTGGGTGTCTGTGGTCGAGCATATTCCAAGATGCAAAATGACTTCTCTTTGAGAATAAACGGCATGGCTCAAACCGAAAACAGAGTACAATTAGCATGTAATAGTCATAGATTTTTTTCCATTGTTTCTGACGATATTTTCCTGTCTTTTAATTATTTTCTTTGTTTCTGCATGGCATCTTTTACAATTCCTATGCAACATGAGATATCTGTACTACATTTTTCGTCTTTTGTTATTGCACAACCCATAGAGTTTTGATGTCTCCAATATGTATCTCGTATCATGGATGGTCTTTTTTGCTGACAACCATGCATTCATTTTTCTTACAGTTAGTAATTAGTCTATTCTTCTTAATTTTTTTAGACACTTAACTAAGAATAACTTCGGCTTTCCTTCTGTCAATAATATACATTCTTTGAAAATTTGAGGTTATTTCAACAAGAATTGCCAAAATTATTGGCCTGTGAAATGATGTCAAAGTCAGATCAGCGCAGGTATTTTCGCGTTGGGCTGTTCCAAGCAGGGCGATGACGTACAAGAAAAGAATAACACTCAAAGGTAAATACTGATTTTATAACAGTGTCTGTACTATGATTGGTTCGCATGCAATTATTTATCAGCCCAGCCCGCATCTAAATCGGAAGTGATACCATCGTCGACCTGGCACAAATCTGGTTTGCTGTTTTGGTAAAGTTTGGCACAAGGCTGAAGTCGGAGCTTCTCTTCGGCAGGCAATCACGCGGCTTCTTTTCTATCTCGTACCCAGCCAGTCTCACAGTCTCTCGTCTGTCGAATGCGCGAATTTATGGACATTTGCCCCAAACCGGCGTGGGGTCATGGCATTTCGGTGAATCCCCTCCGCTTTACGTCATAATTTTAGGGGATTACCTCTCATCTCAGCATCTCTCACCAACCTTTTCAGTAGCGTGGGTAGCATATCCACCCCTGCCCGCATCCTGTCTCGAATCAACTTCAAATTTGTTGTTTAGCGAAAATGATTTTTTTCGTTTTGCAGCTGTGCGTCAATCAAATATTAACCCTCAAGTCTGGCTCACTTCTCCATTGTTCAAACCTCTCGACATACAAGCCGTATATATGTGAATTTAATCTTCAGTTTTTCCCAGGGTTTTTGGCATGAAGTCTTCTTGTTTCCACGTCTCTCGGCACATAACACTTTCTTATGTTTTAACACGGCAACGACAAATAGTATCACGCAAGTTTTGAGCTAAATACAATGTTAGAGTGGGTTATCTGGTTTGGGTTGTCAGCTAGTCTACGAGAAGGAAAATTTTGAATTATAATACAAGGAGAATTCAACAGGAAACCACAAATATCTTGGTAAAATGCTTGTCAATTCGCAGTAATCTGTGCAAAGCCATGATCGATTACATAAAGAAGATGCGATTTTTAAGTCAACCATTACCCTCATTGATAGAATGTCTGGTCTTAACTTACAATGGATAAATATGGAAGATATTTCCCTACTTGAAAAAACTCAAAAGCTTTCATTTTTAATCCTCCAGGTGTGCTTTTCTGAATTGTGGTTTGTAATGTGACATGAATATTAAATACTCAATACTGGATTGTTGTTTTGTTTCGGCCAAAGGAAGTGAATTGTCCTAACACATCGTTTCATTCAATGAGCAAAAAATATAATAAAACGGTTGAAATAATTTGCAATAACTGCGGCACTTTGAGAAAATATCTTTTATGACAATTAGGAGCATTCATGTCGCACAGTAGCTTCTTCACGCAAACATGATTTCCCTATTTTATTTTAGTTTTTCTATCGATGGCAACCGGTTTCTATCAACCTACCTACTTATCCATCTTTTCATATCTATCTATCTATCTATCTATCTATCTATCTATCTATCTATCTATCTATCTATCTATCTCAGGTAGTTAATATATCGATACATGCACACACACACACACACTTTTTATATATATATATATATATATATATACTTAGAAATAGATAACTCTCTTTTTTACTTCTCTGTTTGTTTGTCTCTCTCTCATATATATATATATATATATATATATATATATATATATATATATATATATATATATATATATATATATCCGGCTGTTTATTACTATTTTGTATCATATACATTTTAACCTATTTCTGAATCTTTTCTTTTTCTATATATCAATTTACCTATTGATATTTATATAAATCCACATACATATATATATATATATAGATAGATAGATAGATAGATAGAGAGAGAGAGAGAGAGAGAGAAAGAGAGAGGGGAGAGAGAGAGAAAGAAAGAGAAAGAGAATGGTAGATATATATCTGGATTAGTGTCTTTTTTCTTTCTTATCTTTCTCACTCTTTATCTTTCTAACCATTAACCCCAGTCTCTTTGTTATTTCTTCTATTCATATTTATTTTAATTTGTTTCTGTCTCTCCATTTCTGTTTTATTTTTCTTTTCTAAAGGAAATTTGTGATCATCATGCTGTACTGTTTGGTATTCGCGCCGAAAGTTCCAATAAGAGTGTTTGGGTCTCAATCCGAAGATAGTGCATAGCACATTCGGAAAGTGTTAGATGATATATCCAAGTCAATGTCATTGGTGTTTAGAGTGATCACTAGGGATGGTTAAAGTTATGCCTCCATTCACCTTCACACTCAACACAGAGGCGTATATCAAATGACTTGAGGATGTAGTGTATCTCTCGGTTAAGATGGTGGCTGCTGGCAGATCCTATTTCTGGCAAAAGATAATTTCTGGCCTTATACCTGGCACCTAACGCCCCAGACTCTAATCCCCTTGATTATTATGTGTGGGGTTCAGTTGAGCGAGAGACCAACAAAACTCCTTGTAACACCAAAGATGAACTGAAGGCAAGGATTATGGCATCATTCACTAATTTAAACAAGGAGATCGTTCAGTAAAGCCACAGGAGATTCCGAAGTCGTCTGGACGCCGTGGTTGAAGCCAATGCCGATTTTATAAAATAAATTTACTCTTTAGTATTCCAAGATATTATTGTTTATTTTTAGTAAATATATATGTTTAATTTTCATTTTTGCGTAAATTAGACGAAAATTTATCCATCTCACACACACACACACACACACACATATATATATATATATATATATATATATATATATATATATATATGTGTGTGTGTGTGTGTGTGTGTGTGTGTGTGTGTGTGTAGAAAGGAGAGGCAGGTGGAGAAAGAGAGGGAATGGAAAGTGAAAGAGCGATAGATAACAATTCCTATAAGCATCAGTTGTTTTCTTTTCTATTGATTTTTTCTCTATATTTATCTATCTCAGTCTGTTCATCCTCATTCTGTTCATGTCTATTTTAATTTATTTCAGTCTCTTCATTTCTGTTCCTTCATTTTTTCTATACATCTGCTGATCTATCTCATAAGAGTACACACAACACACAAACACACACAAACACACATACACACAAACACACTGACACACACACACACATATATATATATATATATATATATATATATATATATATATATATATATATATAATAAAAAAGGCTTAAACACTAATATTCCATGGTCCTAATTTATTCCATTGGAATCGTAAATACGATCAATTCATCAGACCTACAAATTCAAAAAATTTGAATTTGTAGGTCTGATGAATTGAAAAAAAATTTGAGTTTGTCGGTCTGATGAATTGGATCGTATTTACGATTACAATGGAATAAATTAGGACTATGGAATATTAGTGTTTAAGCCTTTTTATTATATCCTTACTCTGTCCTGGACATTGAGTTCTACATGGATTCTATCCTATCGGAATTTTTTATTCAAAAAATATACATCTATGTGTATGCACCTATGTATATATATTTATATACTTTGCATATGTATGTGTATATTTACCACTAATATTATCTATCTATCTATCTATCTATCTATCTATCTATATATATATATATATATATATATATATATATATACAGAAAAAATCATATTCATATCTTCCTTAGTCTCTTTTTACTTTTTTATCGATTTCATTGGTACCTGTGTGTTTTAAATTTCTCTCTCTCTCTTTCTATATATATATATATATATATATATATATATATATATATATATATATATATATATATATTATATATTTATATTTATATATGCACACAACACACACACACACACACACACATATATATATATATATATATATATATATATATATATAGAGAGAGAGAGAGAGAGAGAGAGATAAAGGGAGAGTTGTCTCCGGAACATAAGCTTGGAATTCAAGGCTCCAATGTCATATCCATTTAAATATAATATATATATATATATATATATATATATATATATATATATATATATTCTGTTTATACGTTATGTTATAAGTAAATGCTCTGTTTATAATAAACAGTATTAACAATATTTACCTGTCCGAGAATTTTCATAGGAAATCTGATGAAAATTCAGGCCGATAAATGTTGTTTAATACTGTTGATTATAAACAGAGCATTTACTGAAATATTTGTATCGTTAAAAATAA